GTTCTTCTTTTATGTAACTTTCAGTTCAGTTATCTCCGTATACTCTATCACCTACTCAAACCTTCAATTCCCATTTTTGGTTACCATCTCCTGGGCATCCTGGGCCAATGTCTTTAATTGGCCCCAGGTCATGTCTGGTCCCATCCTTGTCTATCAGCTGTGGTGTAGTCTCCGAGGCATCACTGCTACAGGACTAAGCATCAGCTTCTTGAAAGGTGGAACCAACTCCTTAAAGGGGTCTGGCTCCATGATACAGCAGGACAGCATATCTGGCACCCAGATAGGCCATTCAGCATTTTCTGGAAAGACACAAGCATACCCTTAGGCCCATATGAATGGCTGGGTCCCTTCCATTGTCCAGTAGGAAGAACTCTCCAAAGAACATGTCATAGCTTCTTTTCCTTTATTTGATTGAATTGTTTTTCTGCTGCTGTAGTCTCATCACTAGTAGAATTTAAAAAGTTAGTAGTATATACTACCAAGTGAAGTCCATTATGAGGTGTGAATTTTGTAGGGAAGAATTCCCCTTTTTGTTTTTGTAATTGAATTTTGAGTGTGTGGTGAACATGTTTAACAGTTCTTTGATCTTGAGGGTTATAAGGAATTCCCATGGTAAGGGAAATATGAAAAGTTTTACAAAACGTTTGGAAGGCAGCACTTGTATAAGCTGGGCCACTGTCAGTCTTAAGTGTCCATGAGCAACTAAGGGTAGCCTCTTTGCACCATTTGTTTGCATTTTCAAAGGTTAATTGTTGAACGATTAACTTGCCAGCCTCTGTGTCATTGATAATCCTCCCACTAGCCTGCAATAAGTGTGCTACAAAACCCTGAAAAGTTTTATTAGGAGCCTGATGAATGGAAGTCAGATCAAGGGATGTCTCACCCTTTTAAGGAAGTTCTTTCAAAACCCTTAGGGCAGCTATTTTAATTTGTTCATAGGCTTGCAACTAAAAAGTAAGTTGAGGCCAGGTGCAGCGGTGCATGCCTGTAATCCCAGAACTCAGGAGGCTGAGGCAGGAAGATCGCTGTGAGTTCAAGTTCTACCTGGGCTACAAAGTGAGTTCAAGGTCAGCCTGAACTGCATAGTGAAACCCTGTATCAGAAATGCAATAAAAAAGTAATTTGATTATTGTGGCAGCAGTTAGCATGTCTTTTGAGCCTGACCTGGGCAACACATTGGGACCCAGTTAAAAAAAATCAAAAGCTTCTCATTCAGTAGTTCCTCAGTCAGCAAGTGGTGAATGAGTGAGTAAATGAAACAGAATTCTAAAGAGGTGGAGATAGGAAGAACTTTGAGGTCCTCAAGTTTGTGAACAAATTGCAACCACCAATTCTCCTCCCATGCCCGTCACAGGCATCACCAATCAATCAAGTGATTCTTTCCTACTGAGCCACTATTATGCCTCACAATCTGTCTTAAGTCAGTGTCCCAGACAGCCACTCTTACCAAGGGTAATTGCAGCACAGCTGATGCTGCTGTTGCCTTTCTTAGCTAACTTTTCCTCAGGTAAGGCCCCCTGTGCTCCAGGTGTGGCAGAGCCGGGCTCCTGCCAGCTCAAATCTGCCTATCTCCCTGAAGGACTGCCACAAGCAGCCACATCCACGGGTGCCTGAGATGGTTAATTGATGCACGGACACAGCAGTCCACCCAGTGGTGATCTCTGTGCTGCAGTTTAAGCACTTAAGGTCCCTGTGGCATCAGGCTGAGGCTGGGTTTCTTCTGGGCCATACTGGTGCAATCTTTTCCTCTGCCCACCCTAATTCCACCCCCGAATAAGTCACTTGCACTTTCTCAGGCCCTGCTTCTAGAGAGTCCCAGACAGTACTCACCTATGTTGAGCATAACTATACATGCTTGGCACTGTGGTAAATGTTTGCTATGCTTTGCTGAAGCAATTTATAAGGCTGCTGTTCTTACCCCCATTTTACAGCTAGAGAAACTGAAGCCTGGCGAGATGCCTATTCCAGGTTGTGTGGGAGATGTGTTGTGGAGCCAGCATGCAAACTCAGACCCATTCTCCCCCAAAGCACATGCTCTTCGGCACCAAATGGAGAGGAATGCGCAGTGCTATGTTCTGAATATGTCCCTGGAAGTGCAGATGTTGAAACTAAATCCAGGTTGTGACAGTGTTACGAAGTGCAGTTTTAGGAGAAGCTGAGTGACATTATAAAAAGGCTGGGGAGAACTTGCTAGTCCCTTCTTGCCCTCCCATCCCTTCTTCCATGTAAGAACACTGTGTTCCTGCTCTCCAAAACATGCAGTGTTCACGATACCATCTCAGAAGCAGAGATCGCCCTGCTGACCAGACATGGATACTTCTGGTTCCTTGATTTTACACCTCCAGTCTCCAGATCAGTGAGGAATAAATTTCTGCTCATTATAAATCACCTGGTCTAGTGTATTCTGTCATGGCAGCATGAGGGAGTAGAACATGAAACTACTCTGAAATCTGCATTTTCCCCTTTTCCTTCTTGCTTCACTTTTAAGCTTTGCAAGTATAGGAGGAAAATTACCAAAAGCTTTGGCTTGAGTCAATTAATGCTTAATTTGTTGAGGTTGGGGTGAGGGGCAGGATGGATTTGGGGAGACTTTCCAATCTGCCCACAGCCCCAGCGTCCTGCTCTTTTCTTTTAAACTATTTGTTGTTGGTATATTTTAGCTATACAAAATGATCACATTCACCATAGGGAATTTGTACCTGTACATGATATATCTTGCTGCTTCTTTTATCCCATTCTCCTCCTTTCCCTTCAGCCCCTTCTTCCCCTTCTTAATTACAAAAGCTTTGTTTGCATTTTTTCTTTTCATTCTCTTTTTTTCCTCTTCCTTCATTTCCTCCTGACCTCTTCTATGCTTCCCTTCTCATCTGAACATATTCTTCCCATTACCCAATATCTGTTATACATTTTGGTCCTTATTTACATTTTTGGTTTCTCACCCTTGAGAAACAATGTGGTATTTACATGTGTGTCCAATTTATTTCACTTAAGAGTATGGTCTCCAGTGTTTCTTTTGGCAGCACATATACTAAAAAAAAAAACAAAAAACCTATGGTCTCAAGGTGCATCCATGTAACTAGAAATGTCTCAAGTTTACCCTTCTTTATGGCAGAATAGTACTCCATTGTATAAAAAACCCCACATCTTCTTTATCCATTCATCAGTTGATGGACATTTGTGTTGTTTCCAAGATTTAGCTATTACAAACTGTGCCGCTATAAACATGGTTGTACATATATTGCTGTGGTATGATACTTTAAATTCTTTCAAGAAGATACCAAGAATGGAAATAGCTGAGTCAAATGAAACATCTAGTTTTAGTTTTTTGAGGAATTTCCACACCGATTTCCACAGTAGTTGTAGCAGTCTACACTCTCACTAAAAGTGGAGAAGGTTCCTTTTCCCCCATAGCCCTGCCAACATTTATTATTGGTTGACTTCCTCATAATAGCAATTCTTTATAGATTGAGATGGAATCTTAGCATTGTTTTAATTTGTGTCTCTTGAATGACAAGTGGTGTTGACATTTTTTCATATATTTATTTGCCATTTCTACTTCTTCATCTGAGAAGTGTCTGTTTAGTACAGATGCCCATTTTTTGATTGAGTCTTTAAACTTGAGGAAGTCTGAAGTTTTTTAGTTTTTTACATATTCTAGATGAGTCCTTTGTCTGAGGAACAGCTGGCCAAAATTTTTATCCACACTGTGCGTTGTCTCTTCACTCTGTTCATGGTTTCTTTTGCTATGCAAAAGCTTTTTAATGAGATCCCAGTTTTTGATTCTTCGTGATAGTTCCTGTGCAATCAGGGTTTGTTCCATAAAGTTTTTGCCTACACCAGTGTCTTCAAGAGGTCTACCTATTTACCTTCCAATGTTTCTGTTTTAATATTTTAA